CCTTTTAAACAGAACAAACATGTCCCTGGTTGGCAATCAGAAATTCCTACACTATTAGTCTAGTGACACTCTAAATGTATCGCTCACTTTCTTTTTCACAGTGGGTTTCTTGTTCAGTATTCGTGGCTTTTCATTAGCCTGTGTTGGTTTCTGAAGCGTGAATTTAACTGCATTTCTCAGGCTCCCACTTTTCCAATCTTCTTGGTCATGGATTGGTGCAGGGAGCTCGGAAGGCTTTTCTGCTCAGGCAGCGCCACCCAAATCTTAACCTCTCAACAGATACATCTTTCTTCTCAGCATGCATTTAATTAATATAGCTTGCATGAAAATACCTATTCAGTTACATAGTCAGCGTGCACATCCTCTCTCATCGTTGTTAACCCACTCCCAGTACTGGCTGTGAATTAAAGAAGCTTTTTGGCAGGAAGAGTTGCCACATAGAAAATTAACACCAGCTTTTGTAGACACTGCTTCACTCTGATCAAGCTTCCCTTGGCAACCGGTGCAGTGTAAAAAAAGATTTTGTTCTTATCAATGTCTTTTTTCTTTTTCATGCATTTAGTGCGTAGGAAGCTATTGCACTCTCATTTGAATAGCTTTGGGTGGGGGGAAGAGGGCAGAGTATGGGCCAGAAATTGAGAAATGGACCGATTTTGAAGGGATAGGACTGTTTGCTCTTTTCATTTATTCTTGCAGCAGCATGAAAGGAATGTATTGTGGGAAAAAAAGAAAGCTAACGTTTGTTTTGATGTCTTAATGGAGTTTTCTTTCCTCCATACAGCATCTTCTTTATAGCATAGGCTGCATGCATTTAGGCGAGGAGGACTTGACCCATGAACTCTGCCTCCAGTCATGTGTCCCACAAGATAGGGCAATGCTGAGTTGATGGATAACTTGGAAAGGAATGCTATCATGGGCTTTTAATTTTCCCATGCCCCATGGAGGGGAGTGTGGCCTGCAGAGGAAGGAAAGAGGAAAACTGACTTTTGCAGAAGTCTGTTTTTTATTAGCTTGCTGAAGAAGGGTGAGGAAGGAGGTGGCTGGGGGAAGGCAGCTGAGACTAGAGGGATGTGCAGGGAAACAAGAGGACAATGAGAAGAGTAAAATGCCCAGGAACTAGGATTTTTGGAAGAGCAGGAGTGAAGCCAGTAGGAGAAAAGGCAGAAGTAAAGGTGGAGGGAGCTGCATGGAGTGACCCACTGCTGCTGACTTAGTGAGTCAGATACTTCGTGTAAATGTGATACTGATGTCCAATTCCTCTCCATTCCTGCTCCTATATTTAGCTTAGGGAAATTGCTTCCTTTTTATATTTTGGTTTTTTCCTCTTACTGGAGCCCATGGAAACTGCTCTGACACTCCCTTCCCGCTCTCCTTGCCTTTGAAACAACACCAGCTTTTTATCTGCATATATGGTGCAAGGATAAGATAGGGCTGTGCCTTCATGGAGGTTTGGAAAGCTCTGCAAGGAGCCTTTCACCACTTTCTTGTTGGCTGACCCAAATGGGCTCCATGATGGAAAGAGCTCAGATTGTCTGCAAAAGCCTTTAACATCGCTGTGAGAGCCAATTCTGTCCTTCCTTTGTGTTTGAGGTTACCTGAATGTCCCACAAGAAAGAGGAGAACTGGGAGAGATTCCACAGCCAAGTTGTTTTTAAAAGCTGTTTGCATCAGGAAGGTGTACTTAGAGGTTGTGGGGCGGCATCATAGACCTAGAAATAATAGCTTTAAATACGTATGCCATTGCCAACAGCCTCTGCAGGAATCAGCATGCAAACAAACAGGACACTTGATCTCAGCTGGCTGATAGGTGGTTTGTACGGCAGTAATCCATACAGCAGTGAATAGTTTATAGAAACGTCTTGGAAATCAGAATATACTTGTGGATTAAAAAGGTGCTGTGGTCATCAAGCGCTGGCTACAGCTGCAGAGGAGGTAGGGTTTGTGCTGAAACAAGGCTGCTAACAATGTTTACCTTCTAAACAGCTAGTGTGTGTCAGGGTCACTGTTTCTCTCCGTGGGTCCCATGTGAGGTGCTTTTGGAGCTAGTCTTAGTTTGCATGTTGGCACTATCATTTAAAAAGGTCTCTTCAGACAAAGGTGTCTTGAGAACTTGAACTTGTTTTGAAAGCTTCAGTTTGGGAAAGGGGTGGGGTGGGTGGAAGAGGTGATGTGACCATTATAGAAGTGCAGGTTTGAAGTAGTTTGCTTGGCCTACATCCACAATTGGAAGCTAGGAATAAAAACATCAGTGCTCTCTTCCCTTGTGTCCTTTCCATCCCTCTGGCTGTAAAATGCTGAATGCAGTCTTATAAAGGAGCAGACAAAGGTAGAGGATGGATAGATGGGTGTATGCTCTTGTATGCAATTAATTTTCCATGGTAATGATTTTTATTATTTTAACTGCTGTAAGATTAAAGCCAGCATAAATGGAAAGTAGATACTTTGAGACTCCTAAGGGCTTGGTAGCCTTACTGGACTTGGGGGCAGTGTGGAGTAGGTGGATCAGCAATCTGACCATTCAGTGTCTCCATTCCCTTTATTTTGCTAGACCAATTTCCTTTGCTAAAACAGAGCACACCCAGAGTACTAATGGGCTCTGAGCCACCTTGTTTGGGGAACCACTGCAGGTTCTGCTGAAGAACGACTTGCTGGCTGCGTGGGGTGGAGGGAACTGCTCTGGGGCCACACTGAGCTGAGCTGTGAGTGTCTGAGCAGGCAATTGAGACCGCCCTGAACACTCAGAAGAGATTAAAGTGCTAGAAATGGTTGATTTCTGCTCATTGAGGAGATGTGCTCCCTAGGATGGAGTGGACTAGACACCTTCCCAAGCATTTTGAGAGGGAGACAGTTTTCAAAGTCAGGTGCTCCTGACTCCCAGAACAGCATCTGTGTCCCGCTGTAAGATTTGCAGCCTGCCGTCCGGCTGGATAACGTGTCCTTGGAGTTGGCTGGAGTCTTCATTGTCCTTGTGAATGGCAGACAGGAGATTGTTGGTGGAAAGTCAGCATGGGACAGCATAGCAGCGGGGGTAGCTTTTGTTGGGTAGCAGCTAATTTAAGAAAGCAAGTTTAGAAGACTAGTTTATCCTGGCTAAATGACTTTATTGGTATAGAAGGTCATAACCAGTTAGCAAGTTATGTTAGTTATTAGCTTCCAACTCAACCACATACAATCTTATTTCACCGAGTCTGTGAGTTAAAATTACCTTGTTGTGGCATAAATCAACGCATGCTGACCAGCGAGGAGATACTGTGATTTACTTCCCTCTTCCCCCCGCCCTGCCCCTTCCAGATAGAGTTTTTTAATTATGGGTCAAACTCACAAACTCAGTGAATTGAATATAGGGGTGTCTCAAGACAGTTAAAATATCCATGTTTGTGATGGCTGCTCTGGCACTAGAAGCAGAGTGGCTCTTAGAGCAGTTTGTCGATTCGCCTTGGTATGTGAGCTGGGTGGCTCTTACCTTCACTGTGGGCTGGGAAGCAGGGAGGAAGCCTGCCGGCAGACAGCCTGCTCTGGAGCGCAACTGAGCTAAAATTCATGATTGTAAGTGGCCAAAGGGTCTGTCATATAAGTTAATAATGGCAAAGCCCTGGACCTTTGTGGTTCACTATGCTATTCTAGGAAATGGTTTGTTTTCTTGCCTGGTTTGAAGACCATGGTTTGTTTTTTGCATCTTTCCTGTGTTTTCAGACTGTGTTCACTTCTTTGAAGTGCTGTTTTTCTGCAGAGTTCCTCACAATAAAGCAGTAACTTAAATTTAAGAGCTGCACAGGAAAGTCTTTGCCAGGATTTCATGTCTTTCCTTTATTCTTTCTGTTTTTTTGAAGCTTATTTTGAGCACAATTCATCTCTGTCATAACTCAGCAAGATTTTGGTCCATTAACCCTATCCAACTCAACATAATGGGGTTTTGCTTTGCTTTTCTGATTAGCTGGAGGCTTGGGATTAGACAGATTTTCACATCTGCTAACTTCCTATTTCATATCTTCTGATTTGCGAGGCTTAACCTCCCCTGACTTGCTAATGGATCATAAACCACCTGCTTCTTTACACTAATCCCTCAGGAATATATAGCATAGCTCTGACTTGAAACTCTCCAGATTGGTTCCCCGGGGTAAAAAGTGCAGAAAGATCAATCCCGTTCTGAACAAACTGCTTATTTACACTTTCCCTGCTCTTCTACAAGATTCTCTCTCCAACCATGGCTGTCTGCCTTAACTATCAAAAAAGTTTGGTGCCTTTATTGCCTTGGCCTTCTGGGTAGGGTGTGGGTGGAGAAGAGTAGTCTAATGGGGGGGGCATATCTTGTGAGTAGTTGGTGCTTTGGAGGTTAAAGCTTTGGTACCCTCTGATGGTGTCCGCTTTAAGCTAGCGATGTTAATGGACCATGACAGCTTCAGCCAAGGACTCTGAGCTCAAGGTCTTGGTGCATCAGTCCTCCTTTCTGCTCTCTTCCATTTCAAAATTTACACCACTTCTGGCAGGGTAGCCCAGTCAGATCAAGGGAAGGGTCAGCTGCCCGGGCTAGGTGAGGAGGTACCAGAGACATCATAGGTCCCTGCCAACCCTGAGCCATGCCTGCAGCACTGCTAGCCCTGCCTGCTGCTGGGGGTGCGGAGAGGAGCCTGGAAGGACATGGCTCTTGTCCTGGGCAGCACGGCACCGAGGTGTGCTTAGTCCTGGCTAAAGCCCTGCACGTTAGTGTGTACTGCCTGTGTTGAAATGTTGGTGAGGTCGGTAGGTGAGGTGCTGCAATGGGTTTCTGTGATGCCTCAGCTTTTGCCTTTCTGCTTGGTTGCTTCAGGCCAACTCCTCTACTTCTCTGTCCTTGCGTTTCTTCCCCTGACTGACATCTGTAGCCTGGCATGCATTGCGGGCGAGCCCCAGCATGATGGTGATGAGTGAAGGGCTGCTGACAGTGGAGCAGGGGCATCCTGCGGTGCTCCCCTGACACCGCAGCGAAGGAGGGAGCCGAGAGCACTGGCAGTGTGTACTAGCAGAGGGACAGGCAAAAATCCAAAAATCTTCACCGCAGGGGCATCCTGCACCTGCACCTGTCAGGTGCTCCCCTGACACCGCAGCGAAGGAGGAGCCGGGACTCTCTGAGCACTGGCAGTGTGTACTAGCAGAGGGACAGGCAAAAATCACAATTTCTATTTTAGAGGTGAAGTGAGAGAGACGGCACAAGGTCATTAGAGCAATTGCTGTTCTACCTGAAGCCAGTTTTCCCTTCCTTTTATTCACTTAACAGTTACTCTTTTGGGAGGCAGCAGTAAGGGCCGTGTGTTTTCTGTTACCAGTGGCTACTGCTCTCTGCTATGAGACAAATGCTGTTGCGTGTGTAGGGTGTTTGTGGAGAGTGGGGAAGGCTCCAGTATCCGGGACTGCCCCAGGCTTGATGTGGTGGGCTGAGGCACCAAGGCAATGTGCTATGGGCAAGATTAGTGGGGAAGTGAGGCCTCTTCCCCTTCCCTCCCCTCTCAGTCAGCAACTGTTTTGCTCCCGATGGAGGTGATTATATTGCTTACCAGGAGTTTACTACTGCTTGCTTTTGCAGTTCATCTTGCTGAGAGATTTCTGCAAGGCCCCTGAGCAAGTTGTTTATTCAGATACGTCTCTTGGGTCAATAGTTTTTGGCATCATATATCTCACTTCTCAACTGGCCAGCCACTTCTTGTGGTATACTCAACAGTTTCTGTCCTGTCTAGTGTTATGGCCAGGCACAGAAATTTAGCCCCTTTACCTCCCCTTCTTCCCTGCTTCCCCCCCGTCCCCC